CATCGTGGTCGTGGCCGTGGTCGTGGTCGTGGTCGTGGTCGTCCTCGTCGTCGTCGTCGGTGTCGGCGTCGGCGTCGGCATCGGCGTCGTCGTCGGGGTCGTCGGGGTTGTCGGGGTCGTCGGGACTTTCGTTGTCGTCGTCGTCGTCGTCGGCGTCGGCGTCGTCGTCGGCGTCGGCGTCGATGTCGACGTCGGCGTCGGAGTCGTTGGCGTCGGCGTCGTCGTCGGCGTCGTCCGTCGGCGTCGGCGTCGGCGTCGGCGTCGGCGTTGTCGTCGTCGTCGTCGTCGTCGTCGTCGTCGTCGTCGTCTGGGTCGTCTGGTTCGTCGGGTTCGTCGTCGTTGGGCTCGTCGATGGTGTCGGCGTCCCCGACGTTCCGCACTTCGGGGCCGCATTTCGCTGGTCGAGCTTCGGGGGTAAACCCTCGGGTGTCGAACTCTGGGGATCAAGCTTCCTGGATCGAATCTCAGGGGTCGAACTTCGGGGATCGAACAGGGGGGTAACAACAAACCTCCAGATTTATTTTCTTGGCAGTTTTTTGTTTGTTTTGCTGCGAACTTCGAGCCACCAATCGTGTCAGATATGATTGCGGCGATTCCGGATAGCTATCTGGTACACTCCTGGGCTAGAAGTGCTAGCTGCTGAGCTGCACATTGAATGACCGCATGAAATGCAAAAACATACTCCCAGCCCCGCTTGAAACCTTAGGCTTCCCCCCAAATGTACACCCGCAGCCATGGGCGGGCGGAACATTAGATGTAAACCTCGCTCGTTGATAGGACACGGTGCGTCGCGTCGTCGTCGTCGTCGTCGTCGTCGTCGCCGTCATCAGCGTCAGCGTCGTTGATACATTGTTGTCGTTGTCGTCGTCGTTTTGGTCGTCGTCGTCGTCGTTTTGGTCGTCGTCGTCGTCGTGGTCAGTGTTAGCGTGGTCGTCATTGTTGTCGTCAGCGTCGTCGTCATCATCAGAGGCGTCGTCGTCAGCGCCGTCAGCGTCGTCGTCGTCGTCGTCGTCGTCGTGCTTGTCGTCGTCGTCGTCGTCGTCGTCGTCGTCGTCAGCGTCATCAACATAAACGTCACCAGTGTCGTCGTCTTCGTCTTCGTCTTCGTCTTCGTCGTCGTCGTCGTCGTCGTCGTTGTCGTTGTCGTGGTCGTGGTCGTGATCGTGGTCGTGGTCGTGGTCGTGTTCGCCGTCGTCGTCGATCGCTGACGCGCAATTCGGGAGGGCGCCTTCACGGGTGCGGACGGAGGCCGAAGAGTGCGGGGTGGGTGGGCGGGCTACCGGCTGGGACCCCGCCCGCCCCCTCGGGCGCCCACAGGAGACGCTCTTTCGGAGCCCTCGCCCTCCCCCCACCTTTCGTGCGGGGCTCGCCCCGTGGGCCGCTCCCCGTCGCCCCAGGCAGGCCCAGACGAGTGAGCACTGGCCGGCGCCGACCCTCCAAGGCGCCAAGGGCCTGGGCTGAGGGACGGGGGCGCTGGGCTGGCCCGATGGTGGCGTCGGGAGGGCCGCGAGGAGTGGGGCCGCGAGCGGGGCCGGGCGCGCGGAACGAGCGGGCGTCGTCGTTGGGCAGCGGCCTGCAGCCCGCCGTCGGGGATGCGCAGCAGGACGCAGCGCTCCCGGAGCGGCACGGCCGCCAGGTCGACCCCTGCCGCGCGGACGCACTCGATGGGGCCGGGGGGGTGTCAGAGGTGGCCCCTGGCCCACGAGGCGGCAGAGGCGCCTGGCGCTCTCGCTCACGCGGGCGCCGCCTCGGAGAGCGGCGGTCGCTCCCCTCTGGAGCGAGCGCCGGGAGGAGGCGAGCGTGGCCGTATGGCCACTCGGCAGCGGGCAGCGCTGGAGAAGTCCCAGGGTGGCCCCCAGCTCTCTGCAAAAACACGTACGGGACGTCCTCCGCAGAACACCCCTCGCGAGACACCCAGAGTGCATCATGGGAGCTCTCCACAACGACGCGGAGAGCTGTGGGCAGCTTTCAAGGGTACCGAAACGGTGCGGTCACAGACCGTGAGGTGACCTCGAACCCCCCAGATACCTCACCGCACGGTCCTACACCGCACCCTTTTGGGACCCCGGATGCCCTGGTCGCCCGAAACGCCCTCGGATGGCGAACTCAATCTCAAAACCATGCTGGCCACCCTGAATTCCCACTGACTCACCACACGGTGTGGTCACCGCACCGTTCGGGGGCCATCAAACCTTGGGCAAGACTCGGGCGCGCGCTACTCGGGGTCAGCACGAATCTGGGTCAGCGGAGGACGCAAGGGGGCACCGGCCCCACGTGGCTCCCAGACCTGCGTCCGCCAGAGAGGATTGGCTGACGCCCGGCAGCGCTGACCCCCGCTCCGTGGGCCCCGACGGGTCACCCCTGGCAACCTCCGGGAGGGTCACCACCACGGAGTTCCACGAGTCCTGCAGCAGCTGGGCCGCCTCGCCTGCCGCCTGCAGCCCCCGCAGGGCGGGCGCGCTGTTGCTCGCCAGCCTGGCGACCCACGCTGGCGGCGGGCTCACGCCCAGCAGCTTGGCCAGCGACGCGCAGAAGTGGCAGCAATGTCTGGCGGCGCGCCAGCACTTCTGGGGCGGGCGGCCTTCTGAGGCTGCAGGGGGGACTCTACAGAAGGGCTCGGGGGTGGGAGGAGGAGGAGGAGGAGGAGGAGGAGGAGGAGGAGGAGGAGGAGGAGGAGGAGGAGGAGGAGGAGGAGGAGTGGGAGGGGGAGGAGGAGGAGGAGAAGGAGGAGGAGGAGGAGGAGGAGGAGGAGGAGGAGGGGGACATGCGAGGAGGCCCCCCAGGAGGAAGGCAGAAGGGCGGCTCCGGAGGAGCCCCCCCCACCGTCTCAGAAGGCCGCCGGTACCCCCCCAGCGTGCGGGCGCGCCGCCAGGATTTCTGGCGGTCAGGTCGTAGCTGCTGCCGGGCCACTGGGCCTTGAGGAGGGCGATGAGCTCCGCGATCTCGGCCCGCGAGAGGCGCGACGATCCCAGCGCGACTGCCTCGCGGAACTGGTGGTACGGGTTGGCCCGGGGCTTGCAGTCGAAGACCCCAGTGCCGTCCTCCTCGCGGCGGCGCGCCCCGGGGGGAGGCAGGCAGAGGGGGCGGGCCTTCCCGAGAAGGCGCAGGAGCGGGCCCTCTGGCCTTCTGGAGAAGCTTTCGGGGCCTTCTCTCACGAGCCCTGCCGCCTTCAGAGAAGGGCTGACCCCCCCCCCTCCTCCCCTGACCTTCCCGAGTGCCAACGAATAGCACTGCGTACCCATAGATCTATCTGGACCGTCGCAAACCTCGACAGGAATTAGGACGTCGACGCCCTGGTGCTATGTTTGAGCCCTCCTGAGTAGTAGTAGTAGTAGTAGTAGTAGTAGTAGTAGTAGTAGTAGTAGTAGTAGTAGTAGTAGTAGTAGTAGTAGTAGTAGTAGTAGTCGTAGTAGTAGCAGTAGTAGTAGTAGTAGTAGTAGTAGTGTAGTAGTAGTTAGTAGTAGTAGTAGTAGTAGTAGTAGTAGTAGTTAGTAGTAGTAGTAGTAGTAGTAGTAGTAGTAGTAGTAGTAGTAGTAGTAGTAGTAGTAGTAGTAGTAGTAGTAGTTAGTAGTAGTAGTAGTAGTAGTAGTAGAAGTAGTAGTAGAAGTAGTAGTAGTAGTAGTAGTAGTAGTAGTAGTAGTAGTAGTAGTAGTAGTAGTAGTAAATAGTAGTAGCAATAGTAGGTCAGGGTCGCCTGCCGCCTGGGCGCGCCGCCGATCCTCCCCAGGAGCCCCCCCCTGGAGCGTCGCGGGAGGGGATCGTGTGGCGGGCACTGCTCTGCTGCCCGCAAGGGTGGCCCGTGCTGGGCCCCGAGGCCGTAGCAAAGGCAGCTGCGGATGATGATACACCTGGCCCCGAGGAGGAGGGAGGAGGAGGAAGGAGGAGGAGGAGGAGGAGGAGGAGGAGGAGGAGGAGGAGAGGGCTGATGCACCCGACCAGGAGTCAGTAAGGATGCGCGGTAGGGATGCCAGGGCCTTGGGACGCCGTGTTGACGCTCTCCGTGCGGAGCGCAGCCAGAACGCCGAAGGATGCCGAACACCGACGGGGCAAGGATGCAAGGGTAGCCTTGGAAAGTTGCCCAATCCTTGCTATCATGGTTGACTGTACACGTCGTTCATGTCTAATCGTGCTCATGTCAAATGGTGCTCGTTTCTAATTGTTCCTGGCCCCCCAGTGGCCAGGAAGAGGCCCAGGATGGAATAATTAGAAATGAAAGGACCTTGGCCCCCCAAGAAATCAACGAGCTCTCGAATCATTAGACATGAGCAACGTGCAGATCTATCTGGACTGCCTCACACCTCGACGAGAACTGGGGCGGCGCGGTGGGCCAGGACTGAAGGGGCCCTGGGACACACAAATAAATAGACACAAATAAAAGGATTCCCCATATTTTCTTGCGTCCCCCCCTCCACCATGTTTTCCCATATCTTCCTGGGAATCGACGATGAATTGTGTCTGTGTGTCTCTTTCCCTCCTGCAGGACCCGCGGCGCGACACGCCCACCCACAGTTCCCGACCGCTCCACCCTCCGCACCTCGGGCCCACGCTTCTCGGGGATGGACAAACCCCCCTTTAGCAAAACGTGGTTTAATGAAAACGACCTGAGGCCCAAATCTGGCGGGCGCGAGCCTGGAAAATAACGGCCACGGCGCCCTCTCGAGAACCGAAAACGGACAATTCACTAATCGACGTGTCACTGTTGGGGGTTCTGTCCACCCCCGAGCTTTGGAACAGATCACGACGTCGGGGCCCGGGACCAACACACCCCCGGCCTCGCGGCCTCTTCTCTCGGCGGCGAGCGACGGGGAGCAGTGAGAAGGGGAAGGACTCCTCAAAGGCGCTGGGGCTTGTCAGAAGTCCTCCGGCCCTCTGACAAGCATTCTGCGCCTTCGGGGCAGGCTCTGGGAACTTCTCGGAAGGCCGGGGGACTCTTCCGAGCCTTCTGAGAAGGCCCTCTCCTCCTCGCTCCCCCTCGGGCTCGACGCCGATCCTCGCGGCGCGGGCAGCCCCGAGGCTCTCGGCACCCCGTCCCCAGTGAAGGCTGCCCCCGGCGCCCCCGCCGCGGGCCGCTCTTCGATGGCCCGGGCCCCCCCCCCCCCCGCCCGCGAGAAGCGTGGCGCGCCCGCCGTGACCCTCTTTGCCCGCGGGGCGCCCGGAGGTCTGGTCTCCTGGAGCCCGCCGAAGCTCCACTCCCGGCCGCGCACCTGCTTGCACAGGGCGCCGACGTTACACTCATGAGACGAAGCCAGGACGAGGACGACAACGGGTGAGGGCACGCCGGGGATCTCTGAAGTCCAGCAGCTCTGGAGGATGTTCCTTGCGCCAGGGCCCTTTCGGAGCGTGCGTTCCGGAAGGCTCTGGCACGGACTTCTCCTCGTCCTCGCCCCGCCCGACCAAATCCTGGCCAGGCTCGTCGTGGGCCCAGCATCGAGCGGCCCGGACAGGATCGGTGCAGGTGTATGGCTGGTGCCCTCCGACCTGGGGGTGCACAGGGACACGTGCACCCATGCCGCTGACCACGGCGGGCTCCCGTCACGATGACGTCGGCGTTGGTTTCCGACACCGCGCGTATCGTTCGACCTTGAACGATCGCCCCTTTCCGGCAGCACAGATCATTCGTTATCGGCCGATTCTGCGACGCCGCCGGCGTTCGACCTCGACCCGCGCCGGGGCCGCCGCCGCGTCAGCGCGGCGCGCACGCATCGTCCTCCCCGCATCTCCGGGATACCGATGCGAATCCGACCATGGCGACGAGGGCCCACCCAGGAGGCCTAACAAGGCGAAGACGAAGGACGGGCATCGGCATCGGAGTCTGCCTGTCGCAAAAATCTTGTGATCCTCGGAGCTTGAGCACGAAGTCCGCTCAGACTCGATCCCTGGACCCTGCCGAAGCCCATCCTGGCGAGCTCTTCATCCCGGATCGATCTCCAGCGGTCCCACGGCATGACGAACATGGACAAACCCATCGAGATGTGATCTTTTTCTATGTATATATGCATGCAGGCATGTATGCAGGCATGTATGTATGGTTGTATGTATGCATGCATGCAGGCATGTATGTATGCATGCATGTATGTATGTATGTATGTATGCATGCATGCATGTATGTATGCATGTATGTATGTATGCATGCATGTATGCATGTATGTGGGTAGATACACATGCATATATGTATATGTATATGTATATAGGTATATGTACAGGTATACACACATATATATATACATGTATATACGTATGCATGTATGTATGCATGCATGCATGTATGTACGCACGCACGTCTGTATATATGTATGTATGTATGTATGTATGTATGTATGTAGGTAGGTCGGTAGGTAGGTAGGTATGTATGTATGTATGTATGTACGTAGGTAGGTATATATGCATGTGTGCATGCATGCATGCATGTATGTATATATGCATGTATGGGTGTGTATGTATGTATGTATGTATGTATGTAGGTCGGTATGTATGTATGCACGTATATATATATATATATATATATATATATATTGGTTGCTTGTTTTGTTGCTGTCTGTCTGTCTGATTGTATGTGCTATTGTTATTGCCATGGCTTTGGTTCTGTTATTATCCTCGTCCTTCTTTTTTCCCCTGCGCACCACCACCCCCGCGTGGAAGGCCCCGCCGCCGAGCGGCCGCAGGAGCCCGTTGAGGAGCCGAACGCGACCGTCCTCTGTCGGGCCCCGAAATGCGCTCACAATCGGTCCCCCTACCGGGGTCCATCCTGGCCGGTCTCCCCTCCTCCTCCTGCTCTCCCTCCTCCTCCTCCTCCTGCTCCCTCCGTCTTCCTCCTGCTCCCTATTTCTCCTGCATCCTCCCTCCTCCTCATCCTCCCTCCCCTTCCTCCTCCTCCTCCTCCTCCTGCTCGTCGTCGTCCTCCTTCTCCCTCACCTCCTCCTCCTGATTTTCCACCCTCCATCGCCAACAGCGAACCGAGACCTTGGCCGCCGTGGTTTCTTCAGTGTGCCTTCCTCCTCCTCCTCCTCCTCCTCCTCCTCCTCCTCCTCCTCCTCCAGTTCTCTCCTTCTTCCTCCTGCTCCCTCCTTATCCCCTCCTTTTCCTACCTCCTACCTCCTCCTCCTCCTCCTCCTCCGTCCTTCTCTCCTACTCCTCCTTCTCCTCCTCTCCTCCTCCTCCTGCTCGTCGTCGTCCCTTCTCCCTCACCTCCTCCTCCTCCTGATTTTCCCCGCTCCGTCGCCAACAGCAAGCCGAGACCTTGGCCGCCGTGGTTTTTCAGTGTGCCCCCCTCCTCCTCCTCCTCCTCCTCCTCCTCCTCCTCCTCCAGTTCCCTCCTTCTTCCTCCTGCTCCCCTTTATCCCTTCCTTTTCTTACCTCCTACCTCCTCCTCCTCGTCCGTCCCTCTCTTCCTCCTCCTCCTCCTCCTTCTCCTCCTCCTCCTCCTCCTCCTGCTCGTCGTCGTCCTCCTTCTCCCTCACCTCCTCCTCCTCTTGATTTCCCCCCGCTCCGTCGCCGACAGCAAACCGAGACCTTGGCCGCCGTGGTTTCTTCAGTGTGCCCTCCTCCTCCTCCTGTTCCCTCCTTCTTCCTCCAGTTCCCTCCTTCTTCCTGTGTCCTCCTCCTACCTCCTACCTCCTCCTCCTCCTCCTCCTTCCTCCTCCTCCTCCTCCTGCTCGTCGTCGTCCTCCTTCTCCCTCACCTCCTCCTCCTCCTCCTGATTTTCCACCCTCCATCGCCGTGGTTTCTTCACAGTGTGCCCGCCTCCTCCTCCTCCTTCTCCTCTTCCTTCTCTTTCTCCTCCTCCTCTTCCTCCCACGATCTCCCCGCTCGGCCCCAGGCGGTCTTGGATGGACTCCCGTCGGGCCGCGTCCATCTGTGGCGTCGAGAACCTCCCAAAACGCCCCGTGGCGTCGAAACCTTCGAAGCGGGGACGTCGTCGTCGTCGTCGTCGAAGTCTTCGCCGTCTCCGGCATCATCAAGGAGCAGCGCCCAACCGTCCGTGGACACGTCGTACACGCTGAGCGTGACCTCCTCCGCCTGGAGGGAGGCGGGCGGGAAAGAGGAGGATGAGGAGGATGAGGAGGAGGAGGAGGAGGAGGAGGAGGAGGAGGAGGAGGAGGAGGAGGAACAGGAGGTACGAGGAAGTGATGATGGTAGATGAGGGAGGAGTAGGAGTACGAGGTGGGAGGAGGTGGGGGAAGGTGGGGCGACGACGACGATTCTGCTGATGCTGGTGCTGGTGCTGGTGATGATAATGACGGAGAAGAGGAGCATCGAGGAGCGAGGGGGAGTGAGGAGTTGGAGGTTGGAGGACGCTGGAGGAGGAGGGTTAGTGGAGGAGGAGGACCATACCAATCCCATTACGCATCAACCTTGCTGCAATGCGCCCTCCCGTCCCAAGCCCGTTTCTCATAAGTCCTCGCAAGAAAACCTTTGCATTGCGGGAAGCGCCCCCGTGGAATGACGAGAGAGTGGTGGGCCTGCCACTCAGACGATACCCCGTTTAGTAAAGGATACACCCTCCACCTTATAGCGAACATAAGCGCGAAGGGTCAGCTATTAACGTGCGGGGAAGTGTTCAACGATTGGCCAGTTTTGGAAACGATCTGCCCTCCATCTGGGTAGATGCTTTACAATGTCAAAGTTGTACCGTTTAGATAACATAATATCACAAGACAGTCCCATCGTGAGTAGGAGCCGCCCTCCATCCGTGTATTTGTTACACACGTTGGAATTTTGAGTCGTAGGGCTTGAGAAGGTCTTGAGCGAGAGCCGCATGTTGAAAACGAGCTGGCCTCCACCAATGTAGCTATAATACACCTTTCAAATTATTACAAGCGGGAATCCCATTTGAACACCACCGGCCATCCATCCATGTAATTGCTGCATTCTCTTTCAAAAGAGTCTGCGCGGCGCCAAAGCGAGAGGCCAATTCTGAAAACGACGGGCCTTACATCCGTGCGACTGTTTCTTTGAACTTCAAAGTTGCACGTTTCCACGGGAGTCTCATACGAAACGCTGGGCCCGGCCTGTGTACGGACACGTCTGGTGGTGTGGTAGGGGGTTGCCATTTATAGGAAGAGGCATGTATGAGGAGGAAGTTAGAGTTGAAGCTCCCTGCGCGCGACTGGGTCAGCCACGCCGCGGGACTAAGAAGGCAGCCCGCACGTGCGGCAGGCTGCAGGCTGGGGAAAGCCTGCCCCGCGGCATCCTCAACCCACTTTGTGGGGAGGGCGGGGATGCCACGATCCAGCCGAGGCGACGAAATTTCCAGAAAACAACCAAGCCGCGGCGACGAGGACACCAGAAACAGAGCCCCAGTCGCGGCGAAGAGGACGGCACCAGCAACACCCAGCCGCGACGACGAGGAGGCGGAGGAAGCGGAGGAGTAGGAGAAGGAGGAGAAGGAGGAAGAGGAGGAGGAGGAGAAGGAGGATGATGCGGAGGCGGAGGCGGAGGCGGAAGAGGAGGAGGAGGAGGACGAGGACGAGGAGGAGGAGCAGGACCAGGACCAGGAGGAGGGAACATCCGTGGGTCGGCTCCTCCCCGCAGCTCCATCCCCAAGGCCTCCAGGCCATAACGGATCGGGCGGGGGCATTGGCTCTCAAGGCTTGGCCCACGCATGCTGGCGGAAGAGGGTGGGACATGAATCAACCGTGCCCCGCACAGCGTAGGTGACGGAACAGAGGAGAAAAGGATTGCAGCCGCTCTCCTCGGGGAGCGGCCAGGTAAGGGCAGGTGTGCCCGCAGAGCGTGGCAGGCGGAGAAGAGGGAGGGAGGGAGGTTGTTGCAGCCGTTCCCCCCACAGGGCTGGTTTGGAGGGGCAGCTGAGCCCCACCAGGCGTGGCTGGCGGAGAAGAGGAGAAGGTGGTCGCAATTGCTCACCTCAGGGCGCGGCTGGCGAAGGGCAGCTGTACACCGCAGGGCCACGAGAGAGGGTGCTACAGCCGTGCCCCTCAGGGCGTTGCTGGCGGAATCGGGGGAAGCTGTGTGGTCGTACCCCTCAGGGCGTGGCTGGTGGACGAAAAAGAAGCTGTGCTGCCGTACCCCTCAGGGTGTGGCTGGCGGACGGCAGTGTGCCAGAAGGGGCAAGAGTGAGTCGAGGCAAGGTTGGCCTTCGGCGTGCGTCTGAAGAGGGGGGGCGCCTGGGGGTACACCACCCAGGCGCGCAGGCCGCTGCCATCGCATCGCAGTCGGCGATCCAGGGGCCCCACTGGGCCCGCACCAGAGGGCACCCCTGGCAAGAGGTCGCTCGCACGTGCAGCCGAGGTCTGGGCGATGAGGCACTCCAGGGGCTTCGGGGATGGGGCGAGGGCCGAGGCCAGCTCCTGGCCGCCCAAAGTGCCAAACGTGCCAACAACACCGTCTCCTCCTGGTCCCCGTGACTGCCGCACGTAACCAGCCTCGAACGTATCCCTATCCCTGAGATTAACGAGCCCAAAGTTGACGACAATCTCAGGGATGCGCCCTCAGAAACGGAAGGAATCCCCAAGATCGGCATCGAGATGAGGCGATGCCAATCGTAGGGATAGGGATCTGTTCCAGGCTGGTGAGCACGCCGACGGCCGCGGCACCGTCTTGTCGCCCTTCTCTGCCCTTCTTCGCTGCTGGGTGGCCCAGGACGTTCTCGACCTCCGCCGCGGTGGGCCCCGCAGGCGCTGGCTGGCCGTGTGCTCGACGCGCAGGCGAGCCCTGCGGCAGCCGGGCACGCGCCCCTCGAGCTGAGCCTCAAGCTCCACCTCCTGCCGTGCCGATCGATCGAGGCGGGGCCATCCGACCGCCCGCCACCCAGACTCTGAGGCCGGCCCGCAGCGTGCCCCCTCGGAGAGAGAGAGAGAGAGAGAGAGAGACAGAAGCCGTGCACGTCAAAGGTGTACTGGCAGAGCGGTGCTACAGGAAATGGCGCGGCTGTGAAGCAGTGGGGCGCCGTGCAGAACGCGGCAACGATCGGAGCGACGCCGAACAGTCCACCAACGCTGGCAGCCCCGTCCTGGAGCACGTCTGTGCACCGGGCATCCTGGAGGTCCGAGCAGCAGTCCGGAGTCCAGGTTGTGGTCGGCTGCCCGCAGCCAGTCGGCTCCAGAAGACGGAGAGGATCGATAGATCAGAGCCCGTGCAGCGTCAAATGCGGACGGCCGATCGCGGATCCCGCTCCAGCCAGTGAAGGGATGCCTGGGCACCCCTCTCGAACCTGAGAACGAGGAACACATGAGCGCAGAGAAAAAGACGACGGCCGAGGACCCCAAGGCACCCTTTTCGGTCCCCCTTCTGAAACGATCGCTCAATACCTCCACCTGCTCTCCCAGTCCTGGTTGTCGAGGGGTCGATGTGCCGGCTGAGGAGGTGGGGGAAGGAGGGAGAGGGAGGGATGAGAGGGAGCTCGGCAAGCTCCAGCTGCTGGCCGCTCTGCTCGCCGCGGCGTTCTGCAAACCGCCCGTGCAACTAGCGATGAGCTGGCTGCCGGTCGCGCAGCTCGCGGCGCTCTGCGGGCTGTCCAGGTTGCGCCAGGCCAGCTGCGCAGCCAGGGCTGCGCAGCCAGGGGAAGATGGCGGAGGAGGAGGAGGAGGAGGAGGAGGAGGAGGAGGAGGAGGAGGAGGAGGAGGAGGAGGAGGGAGGAGGAGGAGGAGGAAGAGGAGGAGGAGGAGGAGGAGGAGGAGGAGGAGGAGGAGGAGGAGGGAGGAGGAGGGGGAGGAGGAGGAGGGGAGGAGGAGGAGGAGGAGGAGGAGGAGGAGGAGGAGGAGGAGGAGGCGGAGGAGGAGGAGGAGGAGGAGGAGGTAGGGAGTAGTAGTAGTAGTAGTAGTAGTAGTAGTAGTAGTAGTAGTAGTAGTAGTAGTAGTAGTAGTAGTAGTAGTAGTCGTAGTAGTAGTAGTAGTAGTAGTAGTAGTAGTATAGTAGTCGTAGTAGTAGTAGTAGTAGTAGTAGTAGTAGTAGTAGTAGTAGTAGTAGTAGTAGTAGTAGTAGTAGTAGTAGTAGTAGTAGTAGTAGTAGTAGTAGTAGTAGTAGTAGTAGTAGTAGTAGTAGTAGTAGTAGTAGTAGTAGTAGTAGTAGTAGTAGTAGTAGTAGTAGTAGTAGTAGTAGTCGTAGTCGTAGTCGTAGTCGTAGTCGTAGTCGTAGGAGGAGGAGGAGGAGGAGGAACGCATGTGGCCTTGGCGAGCATGGTTATGCGATTTGAAGTGCGGCGCGAGCAACGTGCCGAGCCTGCGCCAGAAGAGTAGGCGACGCAGCTCGTGGCCTCGTGGGCAAGGATCACCGAAACTTGTGGTAGATATGGCATGTAAAGATAGCTGTGAAGATGCCCCCTCCTGTGACTGCGCAACCGCCCGACAACCACCCCCGCATAGTCAGACTCACTCCCCAAACCGATCCGAGAAAGCGGTCCGACGGGAAGAAATGTGGGGTGGATCTCCGCGGCTTTCCACAGGGGCTCACGAAACAGGCAGTGAGAGATGGCAGCGGGTGAGTCGCACCCGAACCTGCATTTACTTGGTGCAAGGATTTTGACTCCGCCACTTGTGATCCACGATCCTGGCACGGTATTGATGTGCGGCCAAGCTCTCGATGGCGCCTGCGAAGCCAGAAGACGCTTCAGCAAGCAACTCCATCGGATGTCCGGTTCGTGCAGGGGGGGAGTGGGTAGGTGGAGAGCCAGGAAGAGGTGGCGGACAATGAGCTGGGGGATATAGTCTGGAATGCAATGCGCCTGCAAAGGAATGGACTACTGCACCTGATGCCGCGGAGGCTTCTTCTTTTCGATAGCTTTGCTGGCTTCGCGAACCGCGTCAGCGTGCGCCCTGCGAAACTTGTCGGGTGGAAGAGTAAGAGGCGAGAGAGGTCCGAGGCGGGAGAGGTCAGAGTAGTCAACGAGGGAGGAGAACACTTGGACTATGGAGCGCGGGCTGCGCCAGCAAGGTGCCGACCAACGCTCCCCGACTGCCCGCTCCTTCTGCGGATGCTCGGCTCTGAAGTCTCTGGCAAGCCGTACTCCACATCGGAAGTGCTCTGCCGCTCACACGCCAGGCGCATGCAAGGCAGGAGATCTTGCATTGGTTCGGGGGCCCACATCCATCGAAACCTGTGCAACTCAAGCAAACGAAAGAAGGATAGCGGGAGACGCAAGAACTTACGTAAAGCATGCTATTCCCGCTGCAACACCCGCAGGGGAAAGAACACACAGCCGAACCATCTACAATCGGCATGGCAGAGAGCACATGCGGCAGAGACGAACGCTGGCGTCTGTGGGGGCCCGAGTGGCAACAACCGCGCCGCACCTCGAGCACCACTTTTCGCCTTTAGATGCGAATTGGTCCGCGAGCTGGGCCCCTGAACCGAACTGGACGCCCAAATACCGACAGGAACAACATATTTGAAAACCAGCTCACTCGGGAACGCAACTTCGGACAGCCTCACGGAGGCTCACAGGGGGGCGACGTATCCCTTCTTCGGGTGAAAGCCACACGCGGCCATTTGCAGAGGCCGCGTTAAGCGGGGGTGGGGGAACAACGGGAGAAGGGAGAGGTCAGGGAGAGTCGCCCCTATTTCGTCGGCACACGCACCAACAGATAGGATGAAGGTAGGATCTGAGAGGATACAGTCAAAAACCCTAAGAAGGACGCGCGGTAAGGACGCAAGACCCTTGGAAGCCGAAGTTGGGATTTCTGGGGCGGCGGACAACGAAAACCCCAAGGACGCAAGGGCAAGGAAGAGCAAGGACGCCAGGGTACCCTGAGCAAAGTCGCGCGTCCTTATTCGGTTTTTGACTGTACTTTGGATGCGAGCCTCGCGCGATCCGCTCGGCTGCAGAAGCACGCTCCGAAGCTCTCAAGCTATTTGTTTCCGCTGCTGCACTGTGCCGGCACGTCGGGTCCATACCGAGAGCCCAGGAGGGCCCCACTTCGGGGCAGCCCTGGGAGGGGCCGCGGGAGATCTCGAGAACACGGTGCCGCTCCTGCCCAACCCTGAGGAAACCAGCAGCGTCGGCCCCCGAGGCCTTGATGGCGTGGAGGCCTCCCTGGGGGATGTTCACCTGCTCCAGCACTGCCCTGAGCCACAGCTGCGACACACTTGGGGAATCGGCGCGAAGGTCATGCGAAAGGAAGCGCGGGCGACGGGATGGGGGCGGCATCACCCATGCTGCGCAAGCGGGCCTCCTCCGCGTCTAGATTTTTGTACGAAGCCTTGCTGAATTTCTTTAATATGCATTTGTTTTGGCTGTTGCGCCAACGTGCGTGTTGACTGTCTTGGCACGGGCCTTGCGGTGTGTTTTATTGGTCGAAAAACAAAAAGGGCGAAACGTTCCGCGCCACCCGCGCAATCGGTGAGGTCTTCAGCGCACTCAACTCTAAGGATGAATGCGAATTTCGATTGATTGAGATCGTCGACAAGGCCCTCGCCAGCAAACTGCCTCCGTAAGGCCTCGTATAGGACCCCCGCTGCTACTGGAACGGTCATTCAAGCCTCGCGAGGCAGCCACGGGTGGAGTGGAAATATGGAGCCTCCAGACGGCGGGCATCAAGGCAGGAGAGGTGAGATGTGGAGATGACTTTGGATCTATCCTCGGACCAGAAGTAACCTTCCGACCCCCGCGGGGGATTCATAGTCTTGAGCCAATATGGCTACGGAGTAAGGAGTAAGGGTAAGGAGGAGGAGGAGGAGTAGGAGGAGGAGGAGGAGGAGGAGGAGGAGGAGGAGGAGGACGAGGAGGAGGAGGAGGAGGAGGAGGAGGAGGAGGGAGGGAGGGAGGGAGGGAGGGAGAAGGGAGGGAGAAAGGAGGGAAAAGGGAGGGGAGCACCTCCTCCGCCCGGCAGCCCTGCCGCCCCGCGGGCCCGTTTGCGGGCAGCTCCATTGGCCGCGCCGCGCTGCCGCCCGCCCGCTGGGGCGCGTCTGCGAAGGGCTCGCGCTCCGCCTCCTCTCCGCCGCTGCCTGCCGCCGCCGCCTCTGCGCCCTTCCCCTCCCCCCCCCCCTCATCCTCCCTTTCCTCGTCCTCCCTCCCCCTCCCTCTCCTCCCTCCTCCTCCCTCCTCCTCCTCCTCCCCCTCCCCTCCCTCCTCCTCCCTCCTCCTCGTCCGTGATGGCTGAGGTGGCTCACGCTCGCGGCTGGGCCAGCTTGCCTTTCTTGCTCGATACTGTGAAGGCGCTTGAAAACGTTCTCCACCACATGTTGTTTTCCAGGGCCTTAGCTCTCGGATTCAACCCCTGGCTCCTGAGGTTCGGGGGCCAGGTTCATCACTGTGCACGGTGTATGTGGGGATATCGTCTGGGCGACTAAGACGATCATCGCGGGCTGTGCGTTCGCGGATTTTTTGATGAAGTCCCCTATCGTGTACCAAAGCTTGATGTTCAGACCGGGCCTCCCAGGTATGCTCAGAGCGGCGTCATTGTGCCCTTCTTGATAGACCAGTCGCCGGTCGTGGCCTCCTCGTTGATGCGGCCCTTCTTCGAGAACGCCTGCCTCCCAGTGTCTCTGGAACCGAAGAAACTCATTTTGCTGTGTTCTGACCCTGCCGTGGAGCGGGCGGTGATCGAGGCTGCGCCTTCGCTTTCGCATCCGTCTCAGAGCACGCTATCTTGGAGTGGATTTCACGTTAGTGCCTCGGCGCGGGCTGCTTCGCAAAGTCCAGAACGTGCGTCTTAAAGAAGTGCCGCAGAGGGCCAGGCGCGCCGCGCGGCTTTGGAAGGCGGGGGGCCCTGTTGGTCGACCCGTTCGGCAAGGCCTCATGCTTGCTGCTACTTATGGTGGTTCTGTTCTCGGTCGGCATCAGCACATCCAGCATCAAAAAGCTTCGGTCGTTCTATCGCGTTGCCTTATGCTATATCGACTGTCTCCTAGGATACTTTTTGGGACGACCTTCGAAGCCCTGCTACTGCCCTTGTCGCCACGTTGCTGCGCCTCGGCTAGCGCTTCTCTTCGACGTCTGGGTGGGCAGCTTGTGGGTCATGGTGTTGGCGTGGAGCGCATCTCCCTTCGGGACATTGCTGTTGTTATATCTTGGGATGCAGGTGTATGGGCTAAATGACAGAATGTACCCCCTATCATTCTCTTCTTAATCACTTGGACGGCCCCCCGTACCTCCAGCCGCTGAGGAAACTCGTGGAGCGCTTGGGCCGGCAGGATCGTGCTTACTTGCGCGCAGTGCTGACTGGGTCGCTCCAACCGCCTTTGGAGTTCTCATTGTGTGGGCTTGTGTCTTCTGATGAGACATCGGCCCTGCACCATTCGATCTGGAGTTGTCCAGTCTTGTGGATCGGCGCGCACATGGAGTGCCGCCGCACGTGTAACGAATTCGAGAGAAGCTCCCAACGAATCCACCGTGGCACTCAGCCTTGATGCCGCGAGACTTTCAGTGGATCTGCTCGAGCGGCCCGTTACGGAGCCTGCCCTGGATTCCATCAATGTGTTCCTGGTCAGAGTCTCTCGCATTCCTGTTATCTTCTCTTTCATGCTGTACCTGGTTAGCATGGGCGCAACGAGTATTATGGTGATTTTCGATGTGTGATCGATCCGTCACCTTGCCTCTTGCAGGAAGTGGAGCTCCCCAAGGCTCAAGGCTGTGCTGCTTGCTGCTGCTGCAACCAAGATTGTAATTTCTTCAGGGCCCGCACCACCAATTTCCCGGGCGCTTCCGGGCGCTCCTGGGGTGTTATCCCACGGGCCTCCGGGACGGTTGCAGCGCCCCACACGACCCAGAGAACTTCGCGGAGCCTCGTATCAAGCGCCCAAGACGGTCAAGCAGCGTCACTGGACGAAGCCTCCAAGACGCTCCAAGAGGCCCCAAACAGGGCCCCACGATGCAAATATCGCCCCCTTCCCTCAGGACGACATATATTCTTAGAATATTCGCCTCTTGGGCTTTCACAGCGCCCAAGACGGCCCCAGAGGCCCGCAGATCACCCCAAACCGGCCCAAGAGGCCCCCAAGAAGGCTCGAAGACCGCACAAGAGGGCCCCAAGACGGCCCAAGAAGCCCCCAAGACGGCCCCAAGAGGAGGCCCACAGGGTGAACCCCCACGGATATTTCAAGCCTTCGGCCCCAATGCGCTCCCAGGAGGCCCCAAGAAGCCCCCAAGAGGCCCCAAGAGGGCCCCAAGAGGCTCCCAATAGGCCCAACAACTCCTTCCCATTCTCGGCATTCCGACGGCTCAAGACGGCCCCCACGATCGCCCCAAGATCGCCCACGAGGCCTCCAAGATGGCCCCATCACTGCCCAAGAGACCCCCAAGACGGCCCCAAGATGGCCTCTAAGACGGCCCTGGAGCACCCCAAGAGGGCCCCAAGTCGGCCCAGAGAGGCCCCCCAAACGGCTTCCGACGACGTCAGACGGGCCAGGAGCCCACCAAGATGGCCGAAGTTGGCTCTAGGCTAGCCCTAGACGACCCAAGAGGCCTCCAAGATGGCCCCCAGGAGGGCTCGAAGTGGCCAGAATCAATGTTTTCCCTAGGTTTTTTATAATGATTTTGGCATTTGCTTCTTTTCGGCCTTCCGACGGCCCGAGACGGCCCAAGAACCCCCAAAGATCGCCCAAGAGGCCTCCAAGATGGCCCCAGAACGGCCCAAGAGGCGCCCAGGACGGCCCCAAGAGGCCCCCAAGACGGCCCTGGAGAATATTCCCCAAAGGGCCCCAAGTCGGCCCAGAGAGGCCACCCAAACGGCTTCCGACGGCACCAGACGGGCCAGGAGCCCACCAAGACGGCCCTAAGATGGCCCACGAGACCTGCAAGAGGGCCTCCAGGAAGGCCCGGAAAGTGCCAAATCGTTGATTTCCCATGAGTTTTTGAAGGATTGTGGCATTTGCTTTTTTCGGCCTTCCGACGGCCCGAGACGGCCCAAGAGCTTCCAAAAATCGCCCAAGAGGTCTCCAGTATGGCCCCAGAGCGGCCCAAGAGGCCCCCAAGACGGCCCCAAGAGGCCCCCAAGACGGCCCAAGAGGCCTCCAAGACGCTCAAGATGGCCTCCAAGACGGCCCTGGAGCACCCCAAGATAGGCCCAAATGGGCCCAGCCTCGCCCACCGTGTTCCCCGAACGCTTTCCAAACCGATTCGGGGAACACAGGGTCCGATAGCTTGGCAGGCCTCTGGCCACAACGTTCGGCCACATAGGCGTTTCCAAAAAGGCAGGGGGCGGCGATGATTCGCCGTAGGCGTCTTCGATCCGCCGCCCCATTGTGATTTATCACAGGGGGGCCTGGCGTGCTGGATCCTATCGGTTTTGGTTTTGATTCCTTTTCCAAAAGAACTCCCCCTGGGGCTCCGGCGCGTCCCGCCGGCCACCCGGAAAGGCTCTCAAGGAGCTCAATTCACAATTCTCTCGCTCAAGATGGCCCAAGATGGCCTCCAAGATGGCCGCGTTCGCCCAAGATGGCCTCCAAGATGGTCCAAGATAGTCTCCAGTTCGCCCGAGATGATCCAAGACGGACCCAGAGAGTCCAAGATGTCTCCAAGGTCGCCCGAGAAGCCTCCAAGACGGCCCGAGACGACCCACGAGGCCTCCAAGAGGTCCTCCAGGAGGGCCCGAAGAGGCCAAAACCATTCGTTTTCCCTGAGTTTCTCAAAGGATTTGGGCATTTGTTTCTTCTCGGCATTCCGACGGCTCAAGACGGCCCAAGATCGCCCACGAGGCCTCCAAGATGGCCCCATGACGGCCCAAGAGGCCCCAAGACGGCCCCAAGAGGGCCACAAGACAGGCCAAGAGGCCTCCAAGACGCCCAAGATGGCCTCTAAGACTACCCTGGAGCACCCCAAGAGGGCCCCAAGTCGGCCCAGAGAGGCCCCCCAAACGGCTTCCGACGGCGTCAGACAGGCCGGGAGCCCACCAGGATGGCAAAAATTGGCTCTAGGCTAGCCCAAGACGGCCCAAGAGGCCTCCAAGAGGGCCTCCAGGAAGGCCAGAATATGTCAAAAACATTGATTTCCCCAAGGTTTTCGAAGGATTTTGACATTTGCTTCTTTTCGGCCTTCCGACGGCCCGAGACGGCCCCAGAGCTCCCAAAGATCGCCCCAAGATCGCCCAAGATGCCTCCAAGATGGCCCCAGAACTGCCCAAGAGGCCCCGAAGACGGCCCTAAGAGGCCCCCAAGACGGCTCAGGAGGCCTTTAAGACGCCCAAGATGGCCTCCAAGACGGCCCCGGAGCATTCCCAAAGGGCCCCAAGTCGGCCCAGAGAGGCCCACCAAACGGCTTCCGACGGCATCAGACGGGCCAGGAACCCATCAAGACGACCCAAGATGGCCCTAAGATGGCCCAAGAGGCCTGCAAGAGGGCCTCTAGGAAGGCCCGAAAAGGCCAAAATCATTGATTTCCCACGAGTTTTTGAAGGATTGTGGCTATTGCTTGTTTCGGCCTTCCGACGGCCCGAGACGGCCCAAGAGCCCCCAAGGATCGCCCAAGAGGTTTCCAAAATGGCCCCAGAACGGCCCAAGAGGCGCCCAGGACGGCCCCAAGAGGCTCCCAAGACGGCCCAAGAGGCCTCCAAGACGCTCAAGATGGCCTCCAAGATGGCCCTGGAGCATTCCAAAAGGGCCCCAAGTCGGCCCAGCCTCCCCCACCGTTCCCCCGAACGCTTTCCAAACCGATTCGGGGAACACAGGGTCCGGTAACGTGGCACACAACGTTCGGCCACATAGGCGTTTCCAAAAAAGCAGGGGGCGGCGGTGATTCGCCGTGGGCGTCGTCGATCCGCCGCCCCCTATTGATTCATCACAAGGGTGCCTAGCGTGCTGGATCCTATCGGTTTTGGTTTTGGATCTTTTCCCAAAGAACTCCCCTTGGGGCTTCGGCCCGTCCCGCCGGCCACCAGGAAAGATTGCCCAGAGATGGTTGCAAAGGGTTCTTCCTGCTCTAGACGGCTCCAA